CTAATATGTTCATTAGATTTGTCTCTATTAAATGGTTAAATGATGATGAGCTACTTCTTTTATATAAAAAGGGATTCGGTTACTTGCAGTCATTGGCTTAGCATAAACTAATTATTGTTGACATCCTATTGCCATTGACTAATTTTTATCTAAATAACGATATTCATTCTGAATGATAACCGATTTTTCTTCCACAACCCAATGAGCTTTAACTGATTTATTCTTATGAGTATGCTGGAGTTGGCTGTTTAGTCGATTTCCTTCCACATCGGCTCTCAGAGCCACACATTCGGGACTGTCTGGCAACACCGACATGTTCCGCCTTAAATTGCTGACACGTCTCGGGAGGAGTGCACAGGATCGATAATCCCTACGTTGAAGCTAGGCAGATCTCCAGCTCCATCGAGCGGACCCTTCCAGCTTGCTCGTGTGCCCCGGCACGGGACAAAATTTCGTGCCAACAGTTTCTTTAACTTTCCTATAAGAAAAACAAAAAACTCTATTGAAACCAGTAGATTCTATTAGTGATTTGAATTAGGACAAAACTGGATCCTTATTTCAGGCTAGAGGAGTATTATGTAGTCATAAACTCTCTTCTTATTTACCATATGAAGAAAATGTTCAAGAAAATCCAGCTAACACATTAGTAAGATCAACTTGCCTATGTGCATGAATGAAGATTAACCAAGCAAAATAAAAACACCCATATCGGCTTAGTTCCTAGACTAAAATAAGTGACAAATAAATTATACTTTACCTGAACTCAGAATATGTGGACCTTAGGAATGAATGCATCAATGAGTGTAAATCACGTACAAGAACTCAAGTCATGGTCGGTATCCCTACACTTTGAAAGTACCTAGTTTGCTTTGGTAATTGAGTGACAACAAGTGGACTAAAGTACCTAGTTTGGTTTTGGTAATTAAGTGATAACCAGTAGACTAATACTTTACTTGAGTGATAAGCTAGGTTAGTCCACACAAAGGTATTGAGCAAGGTGGCAACTGTGGTGGAGATGATGATGGCCAAGTAATCAAGTGCTCAACATAGATGAAGCAGATGATGGAGGTGGATGGATTGGAGAGCAAAAGCTGAAAGACAAAGGTATAGCATATAGAGTTTGGTTGTCACCAGCTAAGGTGCAATAGAGTACATGGCTTGATTTAGGATAGTTAGATGTACTATTAAGAGGGGAGCTCTAAAGCTAATATAGTTATCTAGTGCCACAAGGTGAGGACTCACCTTGCATATGCGTTAGACCTACTGACATGGTGAGAAGCAAGAGAAATGGTTTGGAAAATGTTTTAAAAATACTAACTCAATGCTTAAGTTGTTGCTACCTCGTTGGACACAGCTGGGAGTTAGCACAATTAACAAATGGTTTGAGGGTTGCACTCGGTGAGGCATTTCTGCACTCACTGAAAACCTCTAGTGGCTACCGGAGTTGGTGTACTGGAGAGTTTCTTATTGCCTGCTTGTTGGCTCAAGCATCTAGGCGATCACGTTAATTAACTTCTGGTCCTCACTGGAAAGGTAGCGCTGAAGTTTTGGAGCAGTGCCGATTGACACACGCGGGCTTTTCAAACGGGGGCACTGGAAATGTCTAGTGAGCACCAAAGCAGCTCACCAGAGAGACCTAGGAGCTCCAAAAACCTTATGTGTAGTCTCTTATTGTGGTCAAGGGAACCATCTGGTTGTTGCACGGGAATGTGCATGGACTGTCACTCCGCAATTCTCACCGAAGTGATCAGTAATGTAATGGCTAGTTTTTGAGCTTTTGGAATTCGACCATTGAGATCCTCTAGTGTGGAACTCTGGTGATAACTTAATTTATATATTTGGAACCCTAAATGATCTCAAACAAAAATTTTATCAACTAGAAAGTTTTAGATCTCGTCGAGCTCTACAATTTTGATATAAATTTTATCTTCATCCGACTTTATTTAAAAAAAATATGAATTTATTTGTGCTGCAGCTATTTTTAAAGATGGTTGACTTAGTCAACCATCTCTGAAAATTGATTTTCAGAGGCGGTTGACTTAATAAAACCATCCTTGAAAATCACTCATTTTCAGAGACGGTTGACATAAGCAACCGTTCTTGAAAATAGCATTTTCAGAGACGGTTCTCTTAACGGAACAGCCCCTAAAAATGAATACAACATGCTTCCTATATGCATGTATACTTGACCTTCATAATGCCATATGCATGTTTACTTTAACCAAATATTAATATGTTAATATCAAATAAATGGATAATGTAGAAATATATGTGCTTATGATTATTAATTTTTAAAAATAAAAAAGATTGATAATTTGATGTAGATTTGATAGAAATCGTAATTTAGATGCAAATTCAAGGTTTACGTAGATTATCTATAATAATGGATAAGTAGATGCGATTTTATCTTTAAAAAATTGATAAGAGGGTGGAAAATATTGGATATGGTAGAGGAAACCCTATTGATATGTTGTTTATCTGATGTTAATTACATTGACTTGGGAGGGGGCATTTATAGGTACATACGGGGGAGACACTTGCAAGCCAAGTTGTACTAAGCCTAATCCTATTCTATCTCTAGATTCTATCTTTCTCTCTAAAGTTTGTTTCCATCATCTCCAACTATCTCGAACCATACAAATCTTTATTTCCAACAAAGAGAGCTAAGGGACGGAAGACAATAGAGAGTCAGGCTAGGAGAAAGAGATGGAGAATCTCGGGAGGTGAGAGATTAAGGACCGAGACCGACACGAAGTTATTGAACTCGTCTCTGGATTTGGGTATATATGTCTACCGCTCTCGAGTTTTGTTAACACCTGTTGGCAGCATCTTCGGTGGCAGTTCATGATTTTTGCGTAATCGTGCTGTTATATGTACTACTTCTGTCCTACTCAAATGACACATGTACCCTATTGGTTGAAGCCAAATGAGGTGTTTCTCCTTAAATTATGGTTTCCTTTTTAACAAAATTTATCTGTCTAAGCATGAATAATATATAGAATTCATTGTGTTTTAATACAAATTTTAGAAATCATATTGCTCTATATTTCAAGATGGAGGGAATATTTCATTAAAAAGAAAGCAATCACAGTACACACATCGGTAAGCCTGAGCTTACAAAAGGACGAAATATAGACGCACAGTAAGAACTAAGAGGGCTTGCGACCATGACTAGGAGCCCGGATGGGAGGGCCTAAGAGCAACTCCAACCAAACTCTTACTTGAGCCATCATCCTATTTTGAGAGTTCAAACACATCAAAAACCTCTCCAACCGAACCCCTATTCAAGTCCCGATGGATGAGGAAACCTCATTTCTCTCTCCTAAACTCCTAGATGTATGAGTCCCTCATCCTGCTTTCTCTCTTCCATAAAGCTGATAAGTGGGACCAATAAACAGGGTCCATGACAATACAGTGTAAAAGTAGAGAAAATTTAGGAGATCGGTTGGAGTACCCTGAGGAGTAGGGATGAAATATGGATGAGAGACTTTCATTTGCAGGAATAGGGAAGCAAAATTTGAGGGATTGATTGAGTTGCTCTAACAATCATGGGTGCCAACGAAAACAGCCGCGCGTGGCCGGCCATATCACCCACTGCATGCGTCTTCCATGGTACAAAAATAGGTTGCGATCAAACGAAGCAGAGCACTCTTGAGAAACAACCACTCTGAGATATAGCCTTGCATATCCATTATTATTACTGTCAGTTTGTGGTCATATTTAGGGTCTCTTTGGCACGGCTTATGCCGGCTTCGGCTTCATCTATTTTGCGCAAATCGAGGCACTATAGCGTGAAGCCGTTTTGTAAGCCGGGGTTAAAATGAACTAGAAGCCGGGAAAAACCAGTTTTTCTGTCTTCACCGGCTTTGGCTTCACCGGTAAAGTAATTTTGGATGAGCCGTGCCAAAGGGTGCTTTACTAACTACTACTAGTAGTAGTCATGTCAGGTACGGTATTGCAGCGTTTTTGTTTTATTTGCTAGTTTCATTTGGACCCGCAATGCTCGGCTGTAAGATCTATCAGTTTCTATAGTAGTATATAGTATTTGTTTAACTTAATGAATCTCTTAAACCATCTCCCTAATTTGTTTTTTTTAATCTCTAGAACAGTTTCTCGAAAACGAACGGTTGTAATCAGCTCAATCATTCATGCTGCCCTGTTCAAGGAAAATGATGGGCAGCCAAAGAGAGCATGGCATGCAAATGTAAAAGCACCCCACGCAGTTCTATATATAGCAGCCCAAGGCTATCCTTTTTAGCCAGAAACACCAGATCGAATCTAGTACTAAACCAGAACAATTTGGTGCTAGGAACGTAACCATGGGTCATGTGAATGTAGTATACCAGCTCCTGCAAGCGTCTCTAGCGCAACGGCTACTACTGCTCGTCCCTCTCGTCCTAATGCTACTGCTGCACCTCGCCTCCCGAAGCCGTCGTGGCAGCAACGAAAAACAGCAGCGACGACCGAAGCATATCCCGCCTCCTTCGCCTCCTGGCCTGCCCATCATAGGCCACCTGCACCTCGTCGGCGACCTCCCGCACGTCTCGCTCCGCAGCCTGGCCGCAAAGCACGGCGGCCTCATGCTCCTCCGCTTCGGCACCGTCCCAAACCTCGTCGTGTCGTCCTCGCGCGCGGCTCGGCTGATCATGCAAACACATGACCACGCCTTCGCCTCGCGGCCGGCTTCCAAGATCTCCAATACCCTCGTGTATGGGTCATCTGATATTGCCTTCTCCCCCTACGGCGATCATTGGCGTCAGCTTAGGAGGCTCGTTACCACGCACCTCTTCACTGTCAAGAAGGTGAACTCCTACCGGCTCTCCCGCCTAGAGGAGGTAATATTCAACACGAGTTTTTTTAGATGAAGTAAGCTTTATTAAAAATAGAGATCAGACCTTTATAACAAAGACCGGGTTATTATTATTTATATATGTGTGTCCATAGGTACGGTGGATAGCTCAGACCTTACGTCTAACATGAATATCCTCATCCGTGCATAGGTGCGCCTAGTGATCAAGAAGATCCAGGAGGCGGCAGCTGCGAGCAAGGAGGTGGACATCAGCGAAATGATGAACACGTTCGCCAACGATATCGTGTGTCGTGCCGTGTCAGGAAAGTTCTTCAGGGCGGAAGGGCGGAACAAGGTCTTCCGAGAGCTGATCCAGCTGAATATTATTCTGTTTGGAGGGTTCAGCCTCGAAGACAACTTCCCAGGGCTAGCGAACGTGTTAGGTTTGCTCACCAGGTGGTTTGTAAGCAACAAGGCCGACGAGGCACACAAAAGATGGGACGATTTACTTGAAACGATAGTAAGCGACCACGAGAGACGAAGAAGATCTGAGCATGGGCATGGTGGTGGTGGTGGTGTTGATCAAGAAGAGAGTGACTTCATCGATGTGTTGCTCTCAGTTCAGCAAGAGTATGGTATCACTAGAGATCATCTCAAGGCCATCTTGATGGTTAGGAAATTATATATATATATATATATATTTCCCAATAATTTCCATTTGTTTAATTTATATAAAAAATAGAATATATAGATAGAACTAATTAATAACGTTTTGGAAATTCAGGACATGTTTGCTGCGGGCACAGAGACTTCATCACTAGTTCTAGAACTCGCCATGGCGGAGCTTATGCGCCACCCTCAGCTCATGAGCAAGCTACAAGGCGAGGTGCGGAAGAACACACCCAAAGGACAAGAGATGGTTGAGCAAGATAACCTAGCTAGCATGCCATATCTAAGAGCCGTGGTGAAAGAGACGCTGAGGTTGCACCCACCGGCACCACTCCTGCTTCCTCACCTCTCAATGGTGGACTGTGACGTGGATGGCTACAGAATCCCCTCGGGAACACGAGTCATCATCAACGCATGGGCCATCAGTAGGGATCCGGAGTCCTGGGAGAGCGCGGAGGAGTTCGTGCCAGAGAGGTTCATGGGCGCTGCCAGCGCCGCGGCCATTGACCTGAGGGGGAACGACTTCCAGTTCTTGCCGTTCGGGGCTGGCCGGAGGATCTGCCCGGGCCTCAACTTTGGCCTGGCTACTGTTGACATTATGTTGGCAAACCTCGTCTACTGTTTTGACTGGGGTCTGCCCATTGGCATGAAGGAAGAGGATATTGATATGACAGAGGTGTTTGGATTGACAGTCCGTCGAAAGGAGGAGAAGCTCATCCTGCTTCCGGAACCACATGCGTGCGCATGTTAGAGTTGTTCCTGCCCACTGGTCTCTGATGAGTGTGAGTGATCCATTATATGTGCTGTGGACGATGTGGTTCCTGCCCACTGGTCTCTGACGAACACGTCCATATATTTTATGTATGTATATATGTATTTTGTAACAGCAGCTGTGCCTAGGATGGGTGCTTTATTACTTACTAAGTGTGAGTACTAGTACATTGCATGAATTGTGTGGTATATAGGTTATTGGACATTGAAGTTTGCGAACAACATGTGTATTACACTAATAAAAAACAGAACCGCCGGTGTAAAAGGCCAGTGAAAATAGTGCATTTCTACCCCGGCGTAAAAAATTATCTGCCCATACAAATCTATTTACACTAGCAGCAACCTTGCATGACCTGACCTTATAAATCATTTTTCACTTGCAAATTTAGAGTGCTGGATTTTACTTTGAACTGAGGTATTACCCTCTACCTAGATTCTCCTTTCATATTTGAATTTGATGACACCATTATGTAGACTAAACTTCTCCACTACTTACACTGCCAATGTAGCTAAGAGCTTAACAGTAGAAGGATGCCGAGAGTAACCATCCACTGATTCTTGTAACCGAGACTTTGGATCGTTAAACTTTTGTAATTTCTTTGCTTTTCGGTAATGAAATTTGATTCGTCTATGGTGGGAAAAAATCGTGTAATTAGGTAGGTTGTATTTGTAGAGTAGAAACAACAAACACCTCTTGCATCTGAAGAGGAGTAGTTGTTAGTTGATCTCCACCAGGCCCTTGTCTCTGCGCTTTGATCGGGGGCGCCCAACCCTAATACGGTTGATGGGCCCCCGTCGCACAGCACATATAAAAGAGAGATGGGGATCATGGCTCTAACTACGAGGTTGGTCTGAGCCGCCGTGATCCACCATAGTAAACCTAATCCGATCAAAGGAGTGCTGCCAGCGACGAGAAGCCCACCGACTTCCCCGTCGCCCCTGCAGGGTCTCCGCTGGACCTCGCCTGCATCGCCACCACGACGCCTACAACGCCATGGTACTGGCGTCTACACTGCTGCGGTGAAACTACGCAAGGGTGAGATCTGACGGCGAGATTTCACCAGGCCGGTTTTCAGCCCAGGCGGGCGCGAGCACCAGGCCAGTTTCCCGGCCCAGGCCTAGGTTGCGGCCTGGGCGCGGGGGAGAGTGCGGAATAGTGCGCATCAAGGGAGATGGGCCGGGCCGTTTTGCCGGCTGGGCTGAATGCACAGTGATGAAATGAATCAATTTTTCGTTTTTCTTTTTATAGTAAATGTTTATTTCCTGAAAATTAATTAATGGCTTAAAGAAAATAGAAAAAGTAATTTTTCCCTATGGGTAAACTTCAAGAAATGAGTATACGTTTTCCGCTGCTAAAGAAATTGTTTAATCTCCTGTTATTTTGAACCAATGTGATATTTAATTGGAGAAAAAGAGAGTTTTTCCGCTGCTAAATAAATTATTTATTCTCCAGTTATTTTGAACCAATGTGATATTTAATTGGAGAAAAAGAGATTTTAACATGATTATAATGTTGTTATTTTCTGACCAACGTTGTTAATAATAATATCGTAATTTTAATGATTTATGCATTAATTCTATTTGTGCCCAATGGTGATGTAGAATTAGTGTATAAGAATAGTTGTAAATTTTAATAATTTATGCATTAATTCTATTTCTGCCCAACTGTGATGTAGAATTAGTATGTAAGAACAGTTGTGAATTTTAATGATTTTATACATTGATTCTATTTCTGCCCAACGGTGATGTAGAATTAGTGTATACGAACAGTTGTATGTTTTGATTTTGACCAACATTGGAATCAAGGCATGCAAATGGTGTTATTTTTATGTTAAGAAAAGGTTTAACCTGGTTTTCATCTTGTCTAAGGTGGACTGGGTTGTCACCTCGCCGTGTTACACAGAGTCTGTGGCACCGGTGAGGGAGACAAATGAGGATGATGCCGTTTGGGCAACTAAAGAGAGGGATTTTGAAATCCTGAAAGATGTCATATGCCCTTGTGCATAGGAAGTGAGTCATTGTCAACGAGAAATGTTTGGCTATGATAAAGAACACGGTTGAGTCTGCAATTGTAGGCTTAATCTCAGAGTGTGACATGGTCACCGAGTACCATGATAGAATAAAGAGTCAGTTCACTAGCTCTTCAAAGACATGCTACCCAGCTGATAAAGCAGTTGGTGACAGAAGGTTAATTTGAAAATTGTGGTATAAGAGAGCTCACGACGCGTCATCGAAATTATGGCACTATCGTTTAGGCCATATTTCGAGGGAGAGAATAAAAGACTAGTTAAGAATAATATTCTTCCTTCATTAGAGCTCTCATATTTAGAACAATGCTGAGAATGCATAAAAGAAAAGTATGTAAAGAAAATTAAGAAAGATGCTAAACAAAGCGCAGGAATTTTACAGATTATTCACATAGATATCTGTGGTCAGTTTCCTATAAAGAGTGTGGATGGTAATGATTCATTCATAACATTCACAGATGATTACTCCCGTTATGGCTAAATTTATCCAATCAAAGAAAGAAAAGAATCATTGGATAAATTTACGATGTTTAAGGCAAAAGTTGAAAGACAACACAATTTAAAGATTAAGATAGTCAGGTCTGATCGTCGGGGAGTACTACGGTCGGCATACCCCATATGGCCAAGTTTCTGGACCTTTTGCAAGGTTCTTACAGGAGAATGGCATAGTAGCCCCGTATTCTATACCGGACGAATCTCAGCAGAATGGAGTAGCTGAAAGAAGCAATCGTACCCTGATGGATATGGTGCGCAGTATGATAAGTTACTTCACCTTATAGTTAAGCCTATGGATGGAGGCGTTAAAAACCGCCATTCATATCAATAAAGTACCAAGTAAGTCAGTGCCCAAAACACCGTATGAGTTGTGTACAGAAAGAGTATCCTCACTAAACCACTTGCGTGTGTGGGGGAACCCTGCTGAGGCTAAAGTATTTAACCCAGACATTGGGAAGCTAGATCCAAAAATAGTAAGTGGCCATTTCATTGGCTACCCAGAAAAGTCAAAAGGTTTTCGTTTTTACTGTCCAGATAGACATACAAAGTTTGTGGAAATAAGACACGCTGTCTTCCTAGAGGATGAAATGATGAGCGGGAGCATGGTAGCTCGAAAAATTGACCTTGAAGAAAAGCGGGTGTATGCACCCACTCCGATGATTCATGAGCCATTTTTCTCACTACCTGTTATCGCTGCACCGACAGTGCAAGATACTGTGGTGCCAGCACCTGTTGTTTTTCCCCCTGTGGCAACAATGAATGACGATGAGGAACCTATTCTTCAGGATCCTGTAGAACCTATTGTCACACATGAGGGGGAGCAACAACAGCCTCAAACAGAAGATGTGTCAAATGTCGAGGCCCTAGAAGGTCTCAAAGAGTTAGAAAATCAGCTATTCCTGCTGACTATGAAGTATACAATACTGATGAATTTCAAATGGAGGATGATCCCACCTCATTTGAAGAAGCCATGAGAAGTGATTATTCATCAAAGTGGCTTGAGGCCATGGAAGATGAAATGAAATCAATGAATGTCAATAAAGATTGGGACTTGGAAATAATTCCTAAAGGAGCCAAAGCAGTAGGCTGTAAATCGGTCTACAAAACAAAACTTGACTCTCAAGGGAATATAGAGAGATATAAAGCAAGACTTGTGGCAAAAGACTTTACGCAAAGAGAAATGATTGATTACAATGAGACCTTTTCTCCAGTCTCATGTATGGATTCCTTCAAAATCATAATGACATTAGTGGCACATTATGATTTAGAATTACATCAGATGGATGTAAAGGCGGCATTTCTCAATGGGGACTTGGAGGAAAATGTTTACATGGCACAACCGAAAGGTTTTGTCATGGAAGAAAAAGAACAAATGGAATGCCGCCTGAAGAAATCCATTTAGGATTAAAACAAGCTTTAAGACAGTGGTACTTGAAGTTTGATCAAACAATAAAGAATTTTGGGTTTAAAGAGAATGTAGGGGACAATTGTGCCTATACAAAGTTTAACAATAGGAAGTTTATCTTCCTTGTCCTATATGTGGATGATATCTTACTTGCTAGTAGTGATGTCAGTCTACTACTAGAGACAAAGAAGTTTTTGTCCTCAAAATTTGATATAAAAGATCTTGGTGAAGCTTCGTTCGTTCTAGGGATCGAGATTCACCGAGATAGAAGTAAAGGGGTATTAGGACTGTCACAAAAGGCAT